TAATCACAGCTAAAGGCACTCCAACAAAGTCTTAGAATGAGTGACCGCCTTTTTTGGTGGCAACTTTTTTTTTTTGGCCAGGCAGTGTAGATTGCACAAGTTATTGTCCTTATAGTGTCGCATAGTCTGGTTGCAGCAGGGATGAATGACCTGCAGTAGGGCTCTTTTTTACAAACAGTGTGTAAAAGTTTTTCACTAAAGGAGCTGCTCAGCTCCTCTACAGTCTGGTGCAGAGGGTGGAAGGTGTTGTCCATGATGGATTTAAGTTTGGACAGCACCCTCCTCTCAGTCACTTCCTCCACTGTGTCCAGAGTGCAGCTTAGGACATTAGGAAAAGAGACTTTTCCTAATGTCTAACATATTTATATGATTTATTTACAGGCTGCATACATTAATTTACATCATGTTCCTGAACTCACTGTCATTAATATAAGAAATGTAATGTCGGCAGCTCCATCTCAACACAAAAACATTTTAGGCTGTCAGAGTTTTTTCATAATTCTAAGCATCCAAGCATCTCTTTTTGAGAGTTTGCAGAGATATTTTAGAAATTCATAAGAAGTTAAGAAACATTTTGAGACATATATTGTAGTTACTCGACAAAAAAAAGGGAATAAAATGGGACAGATTTCAGATTTTCCGGTCTGTTTTCTTGGTTTTGATCAGATACGGAGGTTTAACTGTGGGAAACATCCAGAAATCCATCCCTGCATCCTTTGGGAGGAACATTCCTCCAATGGTTCGTAAGATCGCAGTACGCAGATCAGCTCAGGTAAGACAGGCAGCCCGAGGGTCTCTGCTAAACTAGAACGTATCGTGCTGCTCATGAAACGCCGCCTTGCTTCCAGGTCCTGTACAACAACAAAGGCTACCACAGCATGCCCACCTACCTGAACGTCCTGAACAACGCCATCCTGCGCGCCAACCTGCCTGCCTCCAAAGGAAACCCAGCTGCTTATGGTACAGATATATTCATTTTATTGCAGTTTTCTTATTTCAACCAACTCCTGCTCTTTCTGGAATAGCCCTAAAAACATCTTTGTCTTTTGTGTTTACTTTTTGGAGGTATCACACTGACCAACCACCCAATGAATCGAACCAGTGCCAGCCTTTCTTTGGACTACCTGTAAGTTAAGACATATTGCATGAAATTGCCTCTAAATCTAAACGTTATACACACAGCTGTGAAGTCTCTCATTATGGCTGGGAAAATACATTATTTTACCATTTTTTTTCTACCACTGTCCTAAACTAGCAGTAAATTTCCCGTATTATTGAATTATATAAAGAAAAAAACTGGTCGGCCTCTCCAAATGGACTGTCGCTAGCATCGCAAGTCTAAATCTGATCACCTGATTGCAATTTGCATTTGGTTGACAACTGTTTCATTTAGATTTCTTGTTCCAAAGAGGTGAAAACAGCTTTAAAAGCTTCCTGGATGGGAAGCAAAACGTCCTCAAACTTGGAAAAATATTCCAGTGGATTGTTTTTTCACCTTTTTTGAAATGACTACGACCTGGATGACTGAGAGTCTTCACCAGGAGAGGTTTCTTGTGCACATGTTTTAGAATATAATGGATACTGGAGCTGGACTGGAATGGTCGGAGGGCTGTTTGTCAAATCGAAAACCTGACAAATGTGGTTCTGCAGCATTTTAAGTGTTTGAATGTGTGTCCAGGTGTCACTACCTGCAAAATCTACCTCACTAAAGCTGAAAAAGAATGGGAGAAACTGGGTTTTTATTGCATTGTTTATTCAGTTTAAATAAGAAAATCTGGAATCTTTATTTCCACCATCTCTTTCTACTCAAAACAAGTTTGGATCATTTTAGGACTAATTTTACTGATGGAACCACTACGTTTGTTCAGGTTTAAAACATCTATGAATATCTATGGACGGGGGAAGCTTAGATCTTCTTTCAGAAATTCAGCAATATTGACATTTCCAAATATTTTTCAAACTGATAAATTGGAAGATGCTGTTTTTTGAAAGGCTCAAATATTTTCCTAAATCTACAGTTGTGTTTATGTTCAGTGTTTCCTTCTGCTTCACGGTTCAGTCTAATAACTGCTACCAAAAGCTGGCTGCGTTCAGTCCGATTACTGCATCGATTCCTGCAGTAGAATCACTTCCCTTCATCTCCTTATCTGCAGGCTCCAAGGCACAGATGTGGTGATCGCCATCTTCATTATTGTCGCCATGTCCTTTGTACCTGCAAGCTTTGTGGTTTTCCTGGTTGCAGAGAAATCCACTAAAGCCAAACACCTGCAGTTTGTCAGCGGCTGTGACCCTGTCATCTATTGGCTGGCCAACTATGTCTGGGACATGGTGAGGAGGACGGAGGCGTGACGCTTGTGTCGCTCATGCTGACCATCCTGCAGCACGCTGACATCGGGTGTTGTGTCTCTTCTGTTTTGCAGCTGAACTACCTGGTACCCGCCACATGCTGCGTTATCATTCTGTTTGTGTTTGACCTGCCGGCCTACACATCACCAACCAACTTCCCCGCCGTCCTCTCCCTGTTTCTACTCTATGGGTGAGATTCTAATCCTCTGTGTGGGCTAGTATGCGTCTGCCTGGTTCTAAGCATGTTTTTCTTTGCAGGTGGTCCATCACCCCCATCATGTATCCAGCATCCTTCTGGTTTGAAGTTCCCAGTACAGCCTACGTCTTCCTCATCGTCATTAACCTCTTCATAGGCATCACTGCAACCGTGGCCACGTTCCTCCTGCAGCTCTTTGAGCATGACAAGGTGTTTGACTGTTGCAACTGAACACTGTACAGCAGGGCTTTAGGATTTTACATCAATAATTTGTTTTAGTCACACCTGAAAGATTTGGCACCGCACAATGCACATCTGTATGGAAGAAAAAGCATTTCTGGAAATGCTTTTCATTTTAAGAATGTGGCTTCATTATTTGACTCATAAATTAAATTAGTAATCAATAATCCTATTTGCATTTTCATTTTCTTCTTAAACACCGCTCATCCTTTTACTTAATTAAAATGAAAAAGAAAAAGACACTTGAGATTTATTTTTCAAAACGCACCCCAGCAAATACATACCAAAATTCAATTTGAAATGTAAAAATCTCAAATGTCTTTTTCTTAAACCCCTTCGGTTTAAGAAAAAACAACCTTAAACTGAGGGGGTCGACTCAAACTTCAGCTTTCAAAAACCTACAACTCAGCAATAGAGTTGATTCCTTCCCACTATCATAGCAACCCCCACCCCATTACAGGGGAACAGAAGACCTCGTCTGTTCATCTAGGCCAACAATTCCCGCTAACGACCCCCCTTTCAGAGACATGGACAGGTATGGAGGATAGCAGGGTAACGAAGAAGACAAATGACCACAATTCCAAAGGGGCGGACCCGTTCGTCCGGTTCAATTTGCTTTGGTCTACTCTATTAAGCCTGGAACTCAATGGTTTTTCTGACATTTTCAATTGAAAAAGGTTCCTGGATGGAAGCAAAACGTCTTCAAACTTGGAAACTAAGTCCAGTGGATTGTTTTTTTTTAACTTTTTTGGAATGAATATGACCTGGATGATTGAGAACTTTACCAGCATACTGTACCCCATTTTCTTTGAGTTCTTATGAAATTAATACTTTAAACATTTTCAGGGGTTTAAATCTGGTACCTCATTTATTTCTGGATCATTTTCTTCTGCCTCAGGATCTGAAGAGAGTCAACAGTTACCTGAAGTCCTGCTTCCTCATCTTCCCCAACTACAACCTGGGACACGGCCTGATGGAGATGGCCTACAACGAGTACATCAACGAGTACTACGCCAAGATAGGTACTAATGCGCTAAGCTTCCACACAGGGAGCTCAGGAGGATCTGGGGAGGATCCCACTATGCTGAGTCAGCAGATCCTTTTCCTTTTAAGATGGAAACATTTCTCACGTTTCCAGGCGGAAGCAGGTCCTGCTTCCTCATGTCAGGGCGATGCTAACTGCTCCAACTGCTGTGTTCGTTACAGGTCAGTTTGACAAGATGAAATCTCCGTTTGAGTGGGATATTGTGACTCGAGGACTCGTTGCTATGACGATTGAAGGCTTCGTCGGCTTTCTCATCACCATTCTTTGCCAGTACAACTTCCTGAGGAAACCTCCGTGAGTGTGACTGTGTTTGGTTTCCTGCTGCTGATCCGTCCAGCTTTCCATTTAGCCAATGCTCTCTCACAGCTAACTTTTTAGGGACCTGTCCAGATATACACCAGTCGTTTAACTGACTTCATAGTCTGCAGGGCACCAACAACCATATCCCCTCTGATTAAAGAGTTTATAGCTTATTAGGAGCTAATATGTTTAATATATAAAGATGATGGAACATACTGCCTTGTTGTTTGGTTACCATGATCAGGGGCGGATTTAGGAAATGTGGGGCCCTAGGCAAAGACAG